CAAATGAACTCTAACATGAACAGGCAGCCAGTGGAGTGAAGCCAGAGTGGGGGTGATGCGCTCCCTCTTTTGAACTCCAGTTAGAAGCCGAGCAGCAGCATTCTGGACCAACTGGAGACGTCTGAGGGAGGACTGGCTGATGTTGCAGTAATCCAGCCGAGAGGTGACGAAGGCATGGATTACTGTTTCAAACTGATGTGTGAGGATCTGCTTTACCTTAGCAGCTGTCTGAGGTGATAAAACTGGCCTTGACCACCGCTCCAATCTGGGAATCTAATTTAAAATCACTGTCCATTTTAAAACCTGTTAGAAACTGTTCTCTTTAGATGTGATGCCAGGAGACCCAGCTCAACTGGGAAAGTTCACAGGAGCCACCATCACCTCTTTTGTTTTTGTTGAAATTAAAAAAGTTTAAAGACATCCAGGCTTTGATGTGTTCAAGACACAACAGAAGTGGTCTAATTGAGAGAGAATCTTTCTTTTTTTAGTGGCGTATAGATTTGACTATCATCTGCATATCATTGAAAAAAGATCCCATGCTTTCTAAGGATTGAGCCCAAAGAAAGCAGGTAAAGGGAGAAAAGCAGGGGACCTAAGATAGAGCCCTGTGGAACCCCAAAACTCAGAGGAGCAATGGAGGATTCAGAACCAGCTATGTTGACAGACATGGTTCTGTCTGCCAGACAGGACCTAAACCAGCTCAGTGCAGTACCACAGAGACCCACTTGGAAATTTCTAATCTCTCTGGAGTTCATCATTCTAGAGAGAGAAGTGGAAAATATTTCAGACAGCTGACAGTCTTCACAGCAGGTTCACCCTGAAGGTCAGACCGTGCAGTGAGCTCCATCTCACTCTACAGGTCTCAGTCAGCAGGTCAAAGGTTGTGACTCTAAAAACATGACAGCACAAATTAAGTTCACCCGAAGGAACCACAAGACTTCTGAACAAGAACCAGACCCAAGGACAGATGTTTACCCAGAACGCACTGCAGCAAACAGCTTCTCCCAGCTGTCAGCACAGTGGTGGAGGACTGATGGTTTGGACTTGTTTGTTATGGAGGAATCTGTTGTGTGTTTTGTTCCCTTGACTTTAGATCTTAATAATTTTAGAACCTGGTAAAGACCGGATCAGGGTATTATGTCCTAAAAACCCTGGAACTCACCGAGGTGGACTGTCTTTGTACATGGACTAAAAAACTGGTCTCTGATGAAACAAAGCTCCAAATGTATGTGAGAGTGAATGATACTAGGATCTAAAATGGTTTAAATCATATTTATAAAATAGATTCAGTTTGAAAATGTAAATAATGAATGTTCTTCATACACCAGGGTTTGTCATGGAGTTCCACAGGGTTCAGTGTTTGGACTGATGGACTTTATGTTATGTACACTTCCACTAGATTACGTTAACAGCATGGGATGAATGTTCATTGTTAAGCTGATGACACTATTATATTTATCTGTGAGGTTGTGGTTTTTGGACATGAGTATCTTAGGAACAAACTCTTCAGCCTTTCACTTCCTCTGGATGACTTTAATTTGTCTTCCAGTTCTGATGTAAACAACATCTGTGTTAACAAAGTCCATGCTCAATAATCCAGGTATACAATCCAACAATTTTCAGTCAGGTCCTCTGGACAGTTTCTTTTTTGGCTGAAATGTTTCACCTTCCATCCAGAAGGCTTCATCAGTCAAGGAAACACACAACACAAAACTGATTCTTCCCCCAACAGCTTACTCCAAAGTGGAACAAACCAGTTATGTTGGTGCTAAGATGGTGTCTTTGGCATGCCCCCTCCTCCGGTGCCGGCCCTCTTCCTCATCGACAGTCATGTCAAAATGGTTCAAAACCACAAAGTCCATGCTCAATAATCCAGGTATACAATCCAACAAATTTCAGTCAGGTCATCTGGACAGTTTCTTTTTTTTTTTTTTTCTTGTGCTGAAACGTTTCACCTTCCATCCAGAAGGCTTTGTTGGTTTTGAACCAGTTTGACATGACTGTCGATGAGGAAGAGGGCCGGCATCGGAGGAGGGGGCATGCCAAAGACACCATCTTAGCACCAACATAACTGGTTTGTTCTACTTTGGAGTAAGCTGTTGGGGGAAGAATCCGTTTTGTGTTGTGTGTTTCCTTGACTGATGAAGCCTTCTGGATGGAAGGTGAAACATTTCAGCACAAACAAACAACAAAAAAAAAAAAGAAACTGTCCAGATGACCTGACTGGAAGTTTTGGAACCTCTGTGTTATTTTTGATCAGGATGTCTTTTGACACCCACATTCAAAATGCTCAAAGGACCTCTTTCTTCCACCTGAACAACATCACAAAAACTATAAACATCTTGTCCCAAAATGATGCAGAAAAACTGGTCCATGCATTTATCATTTCTAAACAATTGTAGTTCTTTCTTATCTGGGTGTCCAAAAACTCTTTAAAAGTCTTCATCTGATCCATAGTGCTGCTGCCAGAGTTCTCCTGAGAGTAAGGTGAGGTCAGGTTCCTCCAGGTTCAGCTTCTCTCCACTGACTCCCTGTCAGAAGAAGCTCTCAACAACCCAACTCCATCTTATATTACAGATATTAATGTTTCATACATTCCTAACAAAGCACTTCACTCTCGGACTGCAGGGTTTTTTACATTGTTTTATAATGTAGCATGTTTTTTTAGTTTGTTTTATATCACTTCTTTTATTTACTTTTCATTTTACATGCTTTTACATGACTGTTTTACTGTTGTGTGTACTTCGTCTGTGGTTTTTGTTTAAATCAGGTCTCTGCTGTAAATGAGACCCCGAGGCTCAGTGAGACAAACATGTAGAAATAAAGGTTGGATGAATGAAAGGTTTACTAGTGGTTCCTAGAGTTTCCAAAAGCAGAATGGGAGGAAGATCTTTCAGTTCTCAGGCTCTTCTCTTATGGAACCAACTTCCAGTGTGTCTGTGAGGCTGACACATTGTCCACTTTATGACGGGGCTGAAGAATTTACTTTTTGATAAATCCTATAGTTAGAGGCGGCTTGGGTTTCCTGAGCTGTCCCTAAGTTCTGCTGCTATAGGCTTAGACTGCTGGAGGACAAACTGACCACATCTCCTTACTCTGCTGCTCTACACTGAATCATAGAAACTACACCTGGACCAAAGAAACTACACCTGGATCAGATAAACTACACCTGGACCACTGAATCTACACCTGGACCACTGAATCTACACCTGGACCACAGAAACTACACCTGGACCACAGAAACTACACCTGGACCACAGAAACTACACCTGGACCACTGAAACTACACCTGGACCTGTCATTGTGTGTCTGTCGTGTCTCTTTCCTGTCCTCTCTAACTCCGGCCAGTTGAGGTAGACGGCCGCCCTGAGTCCAGTTCTGGTTCTGCTCAGGATGGGAGGTTGTGACGAAGCAATGATTCAACACAATCTGTTTTCACAGACAGAAAACTGTCCGGTTCCAGGTTCCAGGTTCCAGGTGTGTTTTGTAAACGAGTCCTCAAGACTCAGTGAGACTCACCTGGATAACAAAAGGTTTGATCACGTCTGACGATGTTTTTGTGTCCCGAGATGATTTGTTGTCCATCGGTGCTTTAAAAATAAACTAATGGATCTGTGTGTGTTACTGTGTGTGTCTGTGTGTGTCTGTGTGTGTGTGTGTCAGTGTCGGTGTGTGTGTGTCAGTGTGTGTGTGTGTTTGTGTTACTGTGTGTGTGTCAGTGTGTGTGTGTGTGTGAGTCAGTGTCTGTGTGTGTGTGTTAATAAGCCACCACCAGCTGCTCTGGGATCAGCCTGATTTCTTATCAGCTGTGTGTTTATCAGTAAATTAGCAGCAGCCAATAATTAGCTCGTTAAGTCTCGTTAGGAGTCACTAAAGAGATTTGAGACTCAGTCCAACAGCCAGTCCAGTTTTTTTTCAAGGTGTCCATTAACCCAAACCAGCATCCATTAACACACACACACACACACACACACACACACACACACACACACACACA